TCTCTCTCTCTCTCTCTCTCTCTCTCTCTCTCTCTCTCTCTCTCTCTCTCTCTCTCTCTCTCTCTCTCTCTCTCTCTCTCTGTGTGTGCCCTAACCAGCCTCCTGGTCTACCTTTCACATCATCGGATCTATTGGATTCATCCTGCACGCCTCCTCATAGATAAGATCTTTTATCCTATCTTCAATCAGATCCGGCTGTTCAAAATCAAACTCGAAGGGTGTATCACAACGCGGCTCATCATTGATATCATGCAGGCTGCGCAGATACGGATGACTAAGCGCCTCCTCGACCGTAATTCTCCTCGTAGGATCGTAAATTAACATCCTGTTCATCAAATCCGCTGCCTCTGGGTCCATGTCTCTGAACCTTTCTTGCAACGTCTGTCTTCGATATCGCGGCAGAGACTGCATGTACCTCCGCGCGTTGCTGTTCCGTAGGAACGACAACTCCGCCTCGTCCGGTGACCCCAACAACTCTGTTATCAGCCTCAACTGCTGCGCGTAATCCCGCCCAGGAAAGATAGGTCTTCTAATTAACAGCTCCATAAATATGCAGCCTACAGACCAAACGTCTATCGCCGCAGTGTAATCAGCCACGTTGAGCAGCAATTCCGGTGCCCGGTACCACCTCGTCACAACGTACTCGGTCATGAAATCGTTGCCCTCCGTCGAAGTCCGGGCCAAGCCGAAGTCACAAATCTTCAAATCGCAGTTGGCGTTGACAAGAAGATTGCTTGGCTTCAAATCGCGGTGGAGAACGTTGGCAGAATGGATGTACTTGAGGCCTCGGAGGAGCTGATAAAGGAAGTAGCGGCGGTGGTCTTCAGACAAATCTTGACGGGAACGGATGATTTGATGAAGATCGGTGTCCATCAATTCGTAGACGACGTAAACGTCGTTGAAATTGGTGCGATCAGGAGGACGAAGGATGTCGCGGATAGCGATGACGTTCTCGTGGTCCATGTGACGAAGCAGCTTGATCTCGCGCAAAGTGCGCTTGGCATCGACACGGTTCTCGAAGGCATTGCCAATTTTCTTGATGGCAACATCCTCCCCTGTCTCGGTGTTAATAGCAGAACAAACGATACCGTAAGCGCCGCGCCCGATTGGACGGATAGGAGGGATGTACTTGGTCGGCACTTCAAACATGTTGCCGCATACGTTGTATTGGATATACTGCCCGTTATGCACTAGTGTGCCGTGCTCGGCTGCCGTGGCCCCCTCCATTGAGGATTGTTGCTGGCAATGACGGTGGCTCGGCGACTCCCACGCGAGACGAAGCTATCACCATCATCTACCAACAACACATCCTCTCTCTCTCTCTCTGTGTGTGTGTGTGTGTGTGTGTGTGTGTGTGTGTGTGTGTGTGTGTGTGTATGTTTTTCGCGAGAGACACCGAAACAAGACGCACAGTTTCTCGCCGTCTTTCACGTGAATTTGTGGCTTTCGAGTGCCGGAGAAGAAAGATGAGTGGAGCCGCGGGTCCGTGGCGGCAAGGACGAACACAGACCGGCAGCGAACAAGCAACAACTTTGCGTCCGCTTGTCACGGCCGGCTTCTACTCCATTCATTCCTGGCTGCGTGAGGACTCAGGAGTAGAAAGGGGCAACGTGCGAAGGGCAGGTTGCAATGAAGAGCCGAGGCAAGCGAGGGACGCCAAGGAAAACCCTACTGCTTCAGCTGAAAGAAGAGAACAGTGTCATCTGAAAGACGGTACAGGCCTGGGGACCTGACAGCACACCGCTGCACACACGCCCTCCCCGACACGCAGCATTACGGGGCTACAAACTGCATGCGCTCCTCTTCCCAACTTTCCGTGTTTCTGTCGAAAAAAAGGTAAGCAAACAGCCCGCTTTGCTCACCAAAGCAAAACTAGCCTCACCTCTTCCCTGAAGGCAGGCCCAAACAAGCGGGGCACCGCCCCCAAGGTGCCACGAGGTATGGCGCCGGGCCCTTTTCGGAAATCCTCATATCCTTCACAATCAGTACACTCCTTTCTCCCTGCAGGGTGACGCACTCTTTTTTTTTTTTTTTTTTTACAAAGGGTGACGCACTCTGGTGAGCTATAGGGCGGATGTACCTGGGATTGCCCCATCTCAACATGGAAGAAACAGGCTGGACACAGCTTGCGTCGTTTTTTTCTATTCCAAAGAGAAATCGGAGCTCGGAGAAGGGGTAGGGCCATTACCCAGAGGGCAGTTTGAACCTAGGGGGCGAGGTCCCACTAGCAAATTGGATTAGGCAGAGATGCAGAAAAGCAGTCCAATCTGGATTTCGTGCACCTTTGAACAGACATGTCCAGATTCAGGCAAGATTCAGGCATGCCCATGCCCAGGGCTGAGGTGGACCCAGGTTGGTACCTCAAAATTGCAGTTATAACCAACTACCAGAATGCACAATTATCGACACACCCAGGCAAAATTATGGGCATACCGGGGACTGCGGTGGACCGGCCAAATTATTCATATACCCTACTACCGGATGCCTGAAATTATGCTCATACCCAGCACCCGCTGGGCCACAAGGGTCCAGTATCCACGTGGTAGGCATGAGCATAATTTTCTGGTTGCCATGCAAGGCCCGCCCCTGGCTGTGTATACACCCACAATTTTGCCATCCCATTTTTGGGCATGGGCATAAGTACGTTGCCTGGAACAACGAGACTGGGTATGCCTACAGTTTCACACAGGCGAAAAGTCGGGTACACTGCAAAGTTGAACGGGGTCCAGGTGTAGATGCAAGTTGGGCGCTGGCAATAGTATTCCTCACACAATTCGTTATGCATCCACTTCATCCAACGTCAGAGAAGGGAAAGAACGAAGATCACCGAAAGAAGATAGGTCAACAAGGAAGAAAAAGGAGAAGAAGAAGAATAGAGAAGAACGAAGAATCAAACTCTCCCCCCGTTTCGCGCATCGTGGATTATATCGTAGTTAAGTCAACATAGCCACACTAAACGTAGTTATATTTTTACGTAGGTTACCATGAAAATGATGAGGCAACACTAGCGGTTATCGGGTAGCTGAAAATTCAGGAATGAAAATTCTGAAGTGAGAGTTTTTAGCAGTTTGAAAATCCTGAATGGTCCTGAAGTGGTGAAAGGTCCAAAGACCCTGAAAACCACCTGTTTAGGTAGGCTGCATCGTGAAGTGGTGAACGGTGTCCTGAAGTGGTCAAGTAAGAGTTTTGCGCAGTCCGAAAATCATGAATGGTCATGAAGTGGTAAAAGGTCCGAAGACCATGAAAACCACCCTTCACCACTTGACGATGCAGTCTGCCTAAACAAGTGGTTTTCAGGGTTTTCGGAGTTTTCACCGCTTCAAGACCATTCAGGATTTTCATACATGAATGGTCCTGAAGTGGTGATGAAAAATACGACTGTTGTCAACCATCTCTCTAAGGCAATAGTATTCCTCACTCAATTCGTTATACATACACTTCATCCAAAGTCATAGAAGGGCAATAATTAAGATCACCAAAAGAAGATAGATTAACAAGGAAGAATAAGGAGAAAAAGAAGCATAGTGAAGAATGAAAAATCGAACCTTCCCCTCGTCTCACACATCGTGATTATATTGTAGTTAAGTCAACGTAGCCACACTAAACGTACTTCTATGTCTACACAGGTAACAATGGAAAACAATGAGGCAATAATATTGCTCACACAATTCGTTATGCATCCACTGCATCCAAGGTCGGAGAAGGGAAAAAATAAAGATCACCACAAGAAGATAGGTCAACAAGGAAGAATAAAAAGAAGAAGAAGAATAGCGAAGAATGAAGAATCGAATTTTTATCTCGCCTCGCACGTCGTGGATTATATTGTAGTTAAGTCAACATAGCCACACTAAACTTAGTTCTATTTCTACATAGGTTACCACGAAAAATGATGAGGCGATAGTATTGCTCACAAAATTCGTTATGCATCCACTTCATTCAAGGTCAGAGAAGGAAAATAACAAAAATTATCAAAAGAAAATAGATCTAGAAGAAGAAAAATATAAAGAAAAGAGCATAACGAAGAATCGAACTTTCCCCTTGTCTCGCACGTCGTGGATCATATCGTAGTTAAGTCAACACAACCACACTAAACGTAGTTATATTTTTACGTATGTTACTATGAAAAATGATGAGGCAATAGTATTCCTTACACAATTCGTTATGCATCCACTTCATCCAAGGTCAGAGAAGGGAAAAAACGAAGATCGCCGAAATAAGATACGTCAACAAAAAAGAAGAAGGAGAATAAGAAGAATAGAGATGAACGAAGAATCGAACTCTCTCCCCGCCTCGCACGTCATGGATTATATTGTAGTCAAGTCAACATAGCAACACTAAACATAATTTTATTTGTATGTAGGTTACCACGGAAAATAATTAGGCAATAATATTCCTCACACAATTCGTTATGCATCCACTTTATCAAAGGTCAAAGAAAGGAAAAAACGAAGAGCAAACAAAAATAAAAGTCAACAAGGAAGAAGGAAAAAAATCATAATAGAGAAGAATGAAGAATCGAACTCTCTCCCTGCCTCACATGTCGTGGATTATATCATAGTTAAGTCAACGTAGCCGTTCTAAACGTGGTTTTCTTTCTATGTAGGTTACCACAAAAAACGATAAGGCAATATCCAAGGTCAGCGGAAGGAAAGAACGAAGATAAAAAAAAGGTCAACAAAAAGAAGAAGGAGAAGAAGAAGAATAAAGAAAAATGAAAAATTGATTTTTTTCCCCATCTTGCACTTCGTGGATTATATTGTAGTTAAGTCAATGTAACCACACTAGACGTAGGTTTATTTTCTGTGAGTTACCACAGAAAATGATGAGGCAATAGTATTCCTCACACACTTTGTTATGTATCCACTGACACATCATCCAATGTAAAAAAAAAAGAAATAACGAAGATCGCCAAAAGAAGATAAGTTAACAAGGAAGAAGAAGGAAAAAACGAAGAATAGAGAAGAATGAAAAATCGAACTCTCCCTCCGTCTCGCACGTCGTGGATTATATCGTAATTAGGTCAACGTAGCCACACTAAACGTAGTTTTATTTCTACGTAGGTTACCACATAAAATGACGAGGCAATAATATTTCTCACACAATTCATTATGCATCCATTTCATCCAAAATTAAAAAAGAGAAAGGACGAAGATAAAAAAAAAAAGATAGGTCAACGAGGAAGAAAAAGGGGAAGAAAAAAAATAGAGAAGAATGAAGAATCGAACTCACTCCTCGTCTCTGTTTTATTTTTAGGTAGGTTACCACGAAAAATGATGAGGCAATAGTATTCCTCACACAATTTGTTATGCATAAACTTTATCCAAGGTTGGAGAAGGGAAATAACAAAGATCACAAAAAAAAAACAGGTCAACAAGAAAAAAAAAGGAGAAAAAAAATAATAAAAAAAATGAAGAATTGAACCCTTCCCCCATCTCGCAGGTCGTGGATTATATTGTAGTTAAGTCAACGTGGCAACATTAAACGTAGTTTTATTTCTACGTAGGAACAGGGTATAGCAGACATTCCCATCTTTAAACCACTAGTACCTGTCTCACTGTTGGGAAATTAGGGAAAACTGGCAGTTTTCTCATTTTCCCCGCGGACTTCGGACGTCAGGTAGGTTCGGCAAATGCCAAAGCTTTCCGAAAAAAAAAAAAAAAAACAACGGGGAAAGGCGGGTGTCGGTCCATTTGCAGTCCAACGGAGGCAGGCCGGAAGTGAAAACGGTACCGGCAGCAGCGTGGCGGGCCACCGTCAGACCAGCGGTCGTCCGTGGCTGGTTTTCGGAGGCAGCGACCGCGCGGACGAGCGACCGGTACCCGTGCAAATCTGACTTGCACGGGCCACCACCATTGCCCTTAGGCCTCTCTCTCTGCGACGACGGTGAGCGCCGCCACCATTGCCCTTAGGCCTCTCTCTCTCTCTCTCTCTCTCTCTCTCTCTCTCTCTCTCTCTCTCTCTCTCTCTCTTTCTCTCTCTCTATCTCTCTCTCTCTCTATCTATCTATCTATCT